GCCTCTATCGTTACTAGCAAGCAGTATGTTATCAACATACAAGACCAGGAAAATATGCTTACTCCCACTGAACTTGTGGTATATACAATCATCACTGACATTTGGTTGAAAACCAAAAGATATAATGACTTTATGAAACTTGTGATACCACTGACGAGAAGCCTGTTTGAGCCCATAGATGGATTTCTTTAATTTGCAAACCATTTTCTTTGAATCTCCCGAAACAAAGTTTTCTGGTTGCTCCATATAGATCGATTCCTCAATGTCACCATTGAGAAATGCAGTTTTTACATCCATCTGATGAAGCTCAAGATCAAAATGTACCACTATTGCCATTATTGTTCTAAAAGAGTCTTTCGAGGATACCGGAGAGAAAGTCTCTTTATAGTCAATTCCTTTCTTTTGAGTGTAGCCTTTAGCAACAAGACGAGCTTTAAACCTTGTAACATTGCCTTTTGAATCCCTCATGATTTTAAATATCCATTTACAACCAATGGGTTTAATACCTTCAGGCAATGAGACTAACTCCCAAACGTCATTGTCACTCATAGACTTCATCTCATCTTTCATGGAATTAATCCATTCTTGAGAGTTGGAACTTTCCATGGCTTGACGGAAGTTGATTGGATCATCTTCCGCAAAACCAACATCCGATTCTTGTTCTTGGAGGAAGACAATTATTTCTTCCACCAATTCCCAATTTTCCTCATTTTCTTGGAGAAATACAATATAATCATCCGGAATTGCGCTTCTCCTCTCTCGAGTGGATCTCCTTAATGGCACTTCAGGTTCTTGAGGTTGTTGAGTTTGATCCTCATTAATAAATTCAGGTACTTGATTGGGGATGTTTTCGAGATTGTCATGAACTGGAGTTGTTTCTTGAACATCATTAGGAATAAACATATCTTGATCATGTTCAATGACAACTGAAGGAAGAGTAACATGTTCTTCCTCAAAGACAAAATCTCTAACCTTATCTCCCCACCCCCCAAACTCAATATCCTCAAAGAATCGGGCATTACCCGTCTCAAAAATAGTCCTGGTAGTGGGATCATAAAATTTATACCCCCTTGACCTCTCAGAGTATCCTACAAAATAGCTACTAACTGTTCTTGAGTCCAGTTTCTTTTCATTTGGCCTATAAGGCCTTGCCTCAGCTGGACAACCCCAAACATGGAAATGAATTATATTGGGTTTCTTTCCAGTCCAAATTTCATAAGGGGTTTTAGTTGTAGCTTTAGTGGGAACTCTGTTGAGTATGTAAGCTGCAGTTTTCAGTGCCTCTCCCCAGAGCGAATCTGGTAAAGTAGTATGACAAATCATACTCCAAACCATGTTTTTCAATGTACGGTTTCGTCTCTCAGCAACACCATTCATCCTAGGAGTTCCTGGCATGGTGTACTGAGGAACAATTCCACACTCCTCTAGGTATTTAGCAAATGGCCTTGGACGTTGTTCACCGGAACCATCATATCTACCATAGTATTCACCACCACGGTCAGATCTAACGATTTTTATTCTTTTGCCTAATTGGTTTTCAACTTCGGCCTTATAAGATTTGAACACGTCTATTGATTGGGACTTTTCATGAATGAGATAAAGGTTACCATAATGAGAGTAATCATCTATGAATGTGATAAAATATGTTTGGCCATTTCTACACGGTGTAGGGAATGGTCCACAAATGTCTGTATATATCAATTCCAATAGATCTGAACCTCTCTCGGTACCTAATCTCCGTTTGTTCGTTTATTTTCCCTCAACGCACTCAACACAAATATCAGAATTTGAGGAGTCAAGAGAATCAAGAATTCCATTTGTTACAAGTCTCTGAATTCTTTCTTTAGAAATATGTCCTAGACGCTTGTGCCAAAGTGAAAACGAATTCTCATTGGTTAATTTTCTTTTAGTACCACGAGTACTTACATGCAAGGTTTCATTATATGAGGTATTTACATCAAGAGAATATAGATTATCATAAACTGATAAAAGACCAGTACCAATAAGTTTTGAATCTTGAAATAGACTGAACTGACTATTTCCAAATGAACAAGAATAACCAAATTTGTCCAATGCAGAAATAGAAATTAAATTCCGCCTAAATGACGGCACAACAAATGTCTCTTTCAAATCCAAATAAAAACCAGTCTTTAATAATAATCTAAAAACACCGATAGCCTCAACTTCAACCCGCTTGCCATCACCGACATAGGTGTATCTTTCACCATCAATTGGTTTTCGGCAGCTCAGGCAACCCTGCATAGATACACTTATGTGAGTAGTAGCACCGGAATCTACCCACCAAGTGTCTTTTGATACCGAAATCAAATTAACCTCAGAACAAACAAGAGCAAGAGACATACCCTTTTTCGCACGCCAGGCGTGGTACTTAGTGCAGTTCTTTTTCTTGTGATTAGTCCCTTTGCAAAAGAAGCATCCAGATTCCTTAGTTTCTTCCTTAGTTTCCTTATGATGCTTCCTAGGAGGCCCTGAATTTGCAGCTTCCTTAATTTTCATTTTCTTGTTGCCCTTAGAGGTAGATGCCAAATGAGCATTTTCTGTCTTATCTTGATTTATTCTCTCTTCCTCTTGAACACAATGAGAAATGAGCTCATTGAGAGACCATTTCTCCTTAATGCACTTGTAACTGACTTTAAATTGATTAAATTGAGAAGGAAGAGAGATCAAAACTAAATACACAAGCAATTCCTCAGGTAAAATAAGCTTTAGTGCACTTAGTTTTGAAGCAATGTGAGACATTTCCAAAATGTACCCCATTATGTTCCCTTTGCCTTTATACTTCATGGAAACAAGAGTGCTCAAAAGAGTACTAGTTTCCGCCTTTTCGTTTTTAGCAAAACGCTTTTCAAGTTTGGCAAGGAACGATTTGGCATCAGCCTCATCAGACATTGTGCCCCTGAATGATTCTGGAATTGCACGTTTCATGATCATTATACTCATGCGATTTGAGCATTCCCACCTCTCCATCTCCCTCTTTTCATCAAGGGTAGATGTGTCCTTAAGAGCGACAGGTTTCTCAGTCCGAAGTGCAAGGTCTAGATCCATGCAACCGAGAACGATCATAACATTCTCTTTCCATTCCTTAAAATTCGTGCCATTAAGCACTGAGATGCTATTAATATTAGCAGATATTGTAGCAACAGAATTGTTGACTGAAAGAGAACAAAAAATAATATAAATGATATGCTCTAGGAACTGAAATTAATTTGATAATTAATTTTAAATTTAAATATTAGCAATCCCCATCCCAAGATACCTAACACAACATCTAATCTTGTCTTTGGACATAAATTAGACTTGCAAGTGGTACTCTTGGTGTAATAATAAAATTTTGATAATAAAATCATGTCAAATACTAAGTCTTTCTTTGGACCGACTTAATGTTCACACGAAAAACTTCATAATCATAGAGAGTGACGGAATGGCATGTTCAACTAGGGACCATAACTCCTTATTTATAGAGAGTGCTTAACCCTAATCAACCCATCATTGATTAGGTCAAGCCCATTGGTCTCTACACATTTGGGCCCTATACCTTATTAGATAACTTATTAGCCCACTTAAATTAATATCCATAGGACCACTAATTTTTGGGCCTAAATATAAGATAGCATATAACATACAATTAAACCCGATAAATAATATATTGTGAATATTACATGTAGCATAAGTCCAATAATCTAACATTTCTAACTTCCGCGCCTAGCTAGTTGTTCGGCTCCCATGCCCTCGGCCCCCGCTTTATCTTCTTTTTTAACCTTCTTATTGAAAGTATACTTGTTATCTCGTGCTTTGGTCTTTTTGAAAGATTTGGGTTACCTATCAACCAATTATTATTTGTAGGAAATGGGGTCAAATAGACTCTCAAACTTACATACAAATGTTAAATAAGTCCTTACATAGGAAGCTTTGTCCGGTAGTTACCATTTCGGTCAGTTCCCGGTGGAATTTTTTGATGATTTTTTTTAGAATCTTATTCATTAAATCTAGTTTACTCATACCAAATTTCAGCTAACAATTAAATCGGGAAGGCATTCAAATGAATTCTTGAAGATAAGTGCGCAATTATCTTAGTGAATTCATTTGAATGCATTTCCGATTGAAGTTTCAGCTGAAATTTAGTATAAGTAAACTAGACTTACGGAATAAGATGCTCAAAAAAAATTATCAAAAAATTCCACCGGGAACCAGCCCAAATGGCGACGACTGGACAGAACCTCTTATATAAGGGCTTATTTGAACTTTTTACGAAAGTTTGAGGGTCTATCTGACCCTTTTCCCCTTCCCTTATGTGTATAACTGGAATCAATAAAAACGGGTTGTTTCATTCATGTTTTTTTACACTCCCTATATATGTATGCATGAATGTAATAAGAAATACTGAAATAGTTTTATAACTAGGAGTAAAATATGATAAAAGTGCACAAATATGACCTTAATCTTCCGTAAGAGTAAACTTAACTGAGTAGACAAAAGTACTCTTAATGAAAACCTCATACAATCATATTCTCACTAACATTGTGTCATAAAAATTAGTAAAATTTATGTGTTTCGAAATTATTTTTACTTTATTTTTACTTTATTATCAATTTAATATCAACTACATATACACACTTTTCTCAATAATTGTTATCGCTTTTTCATGTTACAATGTTAGTAGGACGGTAGTAATAGATTTCATGGACTATAATACTCCCTCCATATTTAAAAGTTTTTTACATTTTCCTCTTTGGACTGTATTCAAAAATTCCCTACACATTTCTTTTTTGGTAAGTTTTTGCTTTAAAAATATTGAATTACCCTTACTTTTTCTACTTATTATCATCGCTCTCCTACTTTTTCATCTTTCTCTCCTACTCGGAAGGAAGGAGTAAGATTTTATGGGTGCCCAAATTCTATGAAATTCTGTAGCAAAAATGATGTGGGTTAGATAAATGTAGAAAACAAGATGAATTCAAAAAAGAAAAAAATATGAACATAGTTGCTGAACAAAATTAGTGAGATTTGAAGTGGCAATATAGTGCAAGTCTGTAACAAATGAGAAGGGAGATAATTTCTAGAAATTGCAGCAATTCGCCAAAACCAATTGCTAATTGATTACAATAATAATGATGATTATAATCATAACATTTGAAAAGGTTTCGAGTGGAAGAACGAACAAAGCTAGTAGCCATGGATGATTTCAGAGCATTTGCTCGAAATCCACTTGAACCCCTTCCTGAGAGAAGCCTTCACCCGCCCTTCAATGGAGTAGACCTTATACTGGGCTATTCTCTTCCGCCTTTTCATCTCAGAGTCGTTGAAACTCCAGGGCGCCGACTTCGCCGTCGCGTCACGCCGCCGTGGCGGAACCGACCACAGATCCGGCGAACGGCTCCGTTTCTTTCCGTACATCTGGTTCTTACATTTCCCGAAACTCTTCCCGCTGACGACCTCGGTTTTGAAGTCTCCGCCGCTGCTGCTCTGGAAACTCCTCCTACTTTCCTCCATTCCCGGCTGGAGCATGAGCGATAATAGAAGATGAGGTAGCAACCAGGCATATATGTAATGGAAGGAAGCTGCGAGCTCAACTCCACGGCAATTTATTGGAGGTTAATTATCAAAAGTAAATGGATTTGCATAAGAAGACCAAAAAATAAATTATGTTTTATGTGTGTCGTGGACAAATATACCCTTATGGTTATTGAAATGTTTTAATTCATAATAAAATAATAAAAAATAATAAAAATTCGTAAAAATTAGTATGAAATTAATAAAAATATTTCGATAATAATTTATTTATATTTTTTGCAAAAAAATAAAAAAAATAAAAAACTCAAAAAAATAAAATAAAATTCACCGCTGCCTCTGCCGCCTCTGCACCACCACCTCCACTCACCAGGGGAAAAAATGTCAAGTTCATTACAAATGTCATATTTATGTCAAAAAACAATGAAAATGTTGTCATTCTCAAAGAGAAGTATGCCATGTTTTTGAAATTTTCAGGAAAAATAGCAGCTTTAAGGAAAAATGTCATTTTTTATACCGGCCGGAGATGGTGGTGCAGGGAGGTAGTAAAAGCGATGGGAAAGGCATCCATATATTTTTTAATTTTTTAATTTAAAAATATTTTATAATTTTTTCAATTATTTTTCTACGAGTTTTTTTTTTTTGAAATTATTATGAATTAAATATTTAATTAACTCATAGGAAGAGTAAGAATGGAATGAAAAAATAGGTATGTTTCCAATATGACTAATATGGTTCTATTTTAAAAAAAATAGTTAGTCCCATTTTGAGTTTTTGCCATAATTTTAGTCCTATTTGAAATAATTTCTATTTTTTATTGTACTTTGAGTTTTAAAAGTGAAATATTTTATACGAGTAGATCGTATGCGCGTCACAAAGATACTCATACTTGTAGTCTTATACCCGTCGCTAGAATCTAATTTAGAGCCTATTTACTTACTCTTATTTTATAAGTTTTATCCGTCAACTTTTACCAAACACGTAATATTTATAATTTTGTACGTTTGCGTAATAATCAAAGTAAGTAAATTTGAATTTATTTTTCCGGTTGTATTGACGTATTGAAGTTAATGCATATGACAATTTTAGCTATTTTTATATAATTTTTTCTTTATTTTATTAATAAAATTATACTTCGTATTTTTTCCCATAATTCAACAGAATTAATCAATGCAATCACTTCAACTACAACATCATGATTTTAAGCAGAATCAACCAACTCAACCAATTCAAGTATTACCAAATGCACTATTAAATTTGTTTATACACAAATTAACAATAATGTCATGTTTAACCATACATTCATTACTCATTTTGTAGGAAAAACATATATACTGTAATTCTAGACTGTCATCGGAATAATTACTCGTAGTTTTTAAAATCGGAGTAAATATAGCCCACCACATTGACATACTCACAATAGATCAGAGTACAATAGTCATTGAAGGGTGACTTTATATTACACCATTCATTACGCCAAATTTGAGATATTATATCAAGAGTGTAATTCTGAAGTTGATAGCACTTGAAAAAACGATTTGAAAAACTACAAGTTCAAGTATATGAAAAAAACATTTATCATTAGAGTTCAGTGTTGCGTTTTTATTACTCCCTCCGTCCCGCTAGAAGATTCTCGTTGACGATTTACGATCTTGACTCACGATAAAACAACTTAATCCCTGTTCACACTCTAATCATTTTTAGTAAATAAAATTAACATATTCAGAAACTACATTAAAACCGGTACAAAGCCTGATAAAAAATGTAAATTTGATAAAAAATTGATTTATAAAGTAAATGATTAAAAATGATTTAAATTGATTATGCATGTGAATAGTGGACGAGAACCTTCTAATGGGACGGAGGTAGTATTATTATTGGTGAATAGCAGATTTAAGTATTCTCATACTTGCACCGATTAGCTTAAAGCAGGGATGGACTCGGTTTGGGCCGGGCCGGGCCTCGGTTCGGTTCGGACCGGGCTTTTTTTGGAAAAGTTAGACCCGGAAACCGGTCCGGGTTGCTCCGGCCCGGGCCAGGCCGGTTCACGGGCGGGCCGGTTCACCCGGCGGTTCACGGGCCGGGCCGTTTTGCCCCATTTTTTTGATTTTCTAATTACTTCCTACCCCCACCCCTTCCCCACACCCTGAACCCCTCCAAAACACCCAATCCAACCCATTTCCCTTTAAAAAAATGTGAAAAACAAAAAAAAGGCCTAAATTGGGCCCGAACCAGCCGGGCCGGTTCATCAAAATCAAGGCCCGTGAACTGGCCCTCTACGGTGTCGGTCTGGTTGGCCCGAACCGGTCAACGAACCGTGGACCGGGCCGGTCCGGGCCCAAACAGTACCGGTTTGGGCCGGTTCCAGTTCGGTTCACCTGGCCCGAGTCCATCCCAACTTAAAGTACTTAAAGTTATTAACTTAAACACAAGCAACAACTTAAAGGTGTTTCCGACTTTCCGATAGCAATCAGTCAATCACATTCGAACAATTGGTTTTATACGAAGAGTACTATAATATTCCCTCCGTCCCGGTGGATTTTGGCAACTGCAAAGTAGGTGAGAAATAAGAATAATAAAAAGAATCAGACTTGGGGTACACACTTTGTGTACACACTCTTACACACTCATGTCTGTGAGATGTTTTTTTATGTCTGTCCCAGACAAAACGTATTTGTCAAATACGTTTTGTCTGGGACAGACATAAAAAAGTCTTCACAGACATGAATGTGTAAGAGTGTGTACCAATAGTGTGTACCAATAGATTTTTTCTAGTAAAAAATGTGTGGTTGAAATTTGTGCAGAGGAGAGAGAAATGTGCAGAACTACAAATTAGTTGTTTTAATAGGAAAGTGGAAAAGTTTTTTGGGATAACCAAAAAAAGGAAAGTTGGCAAAGTCCAATGGGAAGGAGGGAGTATTAAAATGTTACTTTATTTATTACTTAATTTATACTCCTATTTGTATAATTTAATATGAATACTTGGACCCCATGTCCTTGTCTCCAACTTGCTTCTAATTAAAGCGGGGAAACCTGATTAAATTGGAACCTTCGCAATTAAAAATAGGATTAAAAATAGGCAAATTCTACAGTGCATTGTACATTATCTATATAGATCAATTAAAATATTTAAATTGAGTTATATTAATAATATTAATACATATTGATAACAACTTGGGCTAATCAAATGTATAAATTAAAGGTATGGTATCCTCATTAATTGCGAGGTATCATAACATCACGCTCACTTCAAAAATAAATAAACATAATTAAACATTATGATTCATCAAATAGGTAACTACGGAGTATATAAGATGAAAGCCATTCCATATGCACCAAACTAGCCAACTGCCACCCAACGTTGTATAGGGAAAGATAAACAAAACAAACTTACATCGTTAGTTCAGTTGGTTCTGTGGTGAGATATTTAGAACAATGATTAAGATTCGAAACCTGCGATGACTGTGTGGAGGTTACAGCTCCTGCGTGCTGGACTGAACATCTAATGCGCACGATTATAAGACCTACCTTCATTGAGTCGACTGAGTTCCTGAGACGAGGGATTCGACCTTTTGGAACAAAGGGAAAGACAAAAGAGGGCCATTGGGTTCGGGGTGCGTACGTTTTTTCAGGGAAATGAAGAGCGATTGGGCGGTCGGGAGAGGCAGACAATTGTGTAGCTGCGCTGTAAAGCTATTTTGGTGCATTTTAGGTCTCACCACTGTCTTTTTGCCATTTTCGATACATGGTTTGTTCAATATTATACACCCGTCTCTATGATTTCAGCTTCTAATTGCCTTTTTTAAAGGTTGGTACATGAACATATATGACATGATAATTTGTCATTAATAAGTGTCTTGTATGAAATAATATATGTGTTCATGTTTGTGCTTGATTATGTTTTATGAAATGTGGGATACCACTCGATCATAAACGACCCGTTTAGTAAAAATATATAATTGGTTAAATTAGCCAAATATGATGAATTATTGTATTATAGAAAATATATATTTAAAATACATTTTATTGAAAAAATAAAGAAATAAGTAGACGAAAAAAGATGAAATTAAATGATATTCTGCCGTGGAGGGCCTAGGGGGAGCAAGTGTCTCTGCTTCCGATCACGAATTTTAGTATTAGTACCTCGGTGTAAAACTTGTACCCTCCTACGTAGATAAAAAACTACTCCTATTATATAAGGTGATGATTCAATCTAAGAGTGTATGTGTGAGTTGTAATTAGAATGTAAACATCACATAGTTGTGATGAAGCGATTCATTGTAGTTAGACATGTTAATATTGTTACTACACTTTCTTTGAAAAGTGACATTAACGATTCTTTTTAAGTATAGATTATCTTTGTTCAAAGTTAGACATTAAAGATATGATAAAACTCCTTATATGCGATGACCGAAATACTAACAATTACGTAGTATATAACAAGAAAAATAATAAGAATTCTAATTCAAAATAAGAAACGTAACGATGTAAGGAGGATTGATTTCTAATCTAAAATGTCTTTCTTTCGCAACGTCTAATATTACGGTTTAGAATTGTCTGCAAAACGAGACTTATAATTCATAGATGTACATTTTCTGAAATTGACATTAAATAATATATTTCGGGTTACAAATAATAATGTGCACAGACTAGACATAATTGACCAGTGACCACTCGATCTGACCCGACTCATTCCTACTCATATGACAGTGCCCCTCTTTGAGAAAACTTCTAGATCTGTCACCGATTTTCTTCATAACTTCAGCGAATTCAATCAAAAGAGTAATTTTAGCTTTATTTATTTTGATTACTATACAATTTACTATAGGAAATTAGAATTTACGTATTTAATGAAAAAATGGATAAGCTTAAAATGTATAATACTCCGTAATGTAGGATGACCATATAGAGCACATCAAATAATTGCTCAAGGGATTCAATCTCATTGTTAGTTTCCATGCGCAAAAAAACAGATGAACGTTACATGGTCTCAAATTTGATCTAGCCGTGCTATTTCTTCGAAAACGCACAAGGACAAATAAGATACTCGATCTAATATAAATCGATCTCCCTT